TTTTTTTTTGTGTTTGAATATGCAGACCACGTTCATTTCATCATCATAACCCCAGGAAGAGGAATGGAAACAGAAGGAAATAAAGAATGATGAAAGCATATGTATTTTCCTTTTTGAGATGAGTGTCATTTAGAAGACAAATACATGGATAAAGCATGTTCATGGCCAATGGGGTTTGGCCTTTGAGAACTTGTGATTGAATTTTTTCAGCAAAATAAGACTATCCACATTGTGAGAACTTGAGATACTCTGCCCTTGTAAAGAAATAAAGATCTGTTGAATGTATGTTGAGCATCCAAACTTTACATTTTCTTATAACCTTCCTCTCCCGACGCCATCTCATCGGCTTGCACATCCTGGAAAGCCTCGACTACACTACTCCATGGTGCTACCAAAAGGCCAAGATCTAGCCGAAGCACAAGAAAGAAGAAGAAGAAAAAGAAAATGAAAGAAAGAAAGAAAGCCCTCTAGCGCTAAACGTCAGAAAACTGGATCTGCAAAGTTCAAAATATTTACACTTTTGTACATCAGGTCCAGCTTTGTTCATCAACTGCCACAATGACCTGGGACGCACTTTTAGCTGTATGCTCAACTCGAAAACCCTGGGAGCCACTCGACTTTGTTTTAGCCATTAAGCTTGGCTAAAAATTGGTTAAGATTGTATTCTTCGGTGTATTGCGATTGGTCCCAGAGCTCTTCCAGCCCGCCGAGTATGGCTTTCAGGCCTTTTCCTCTTCCTGATGCTTTTGCATCCTCGCCAGATGTCGTTAAATATTTGACACCCTGGAAAACAAGCATACACAACTTTAAACACATACTCATACACAAATTATATCAAGCTAAAAAGGTTCACCCATGGGATTATTGCATAATTAACATAAAAAAGTAGAAAATCATTTAGTTTCCAAAGTTACAAATACAGTCTTCAGGATGTAATTTGTAAAAGAATCAAAGGGTTGATTAGTAATTTTTGGAAACTGCTTGGGATTCACTATTCAGTAACTAACCGTGCAAACGTTTGCCAAGTCAAGGATGGATGGGAAATTGGAACGAGCATTGCCACTCCCATTTTAGCATATCAAATTACTCATCACACATAATCTTAAAATTTACATGAAACTTGATGAATTGAAAAAATTTGGCTTCCTACACAAAAAGCTAGAATTGATGATGAAAATGTAACATAACCATGCAAGCCCTACCCTTTTGCCATCTGCAGAAGTAAACAGGTCAAGTAACTGATCTGTATTCATCGTGTTCATGCTTGCATTATCTGAATTAATGACTGCATTTGCTACAGAAACTTTGAACTTCTGGAGGCTCATAACTTTCTCTTCCAAGGTGCCTCGCATGATAAGCCGATGGACATTCACAACCTTGCGCTGGCCTAACCTGTGTGCTCTGTCCATGGCCTGCAAGTCGTGCCCAGTGAAAAACACAAGTTATTGAAAAGTCGGTCTCTTTCGATTAAAAAAGCAGGATCTTTTCAAAACAGGAAACCAAGAAAAGATAGGGTATTTGTTATGGTTACTGCATGAAGTACATTAATTAATTCTCTCTTATGTATTAATTTCATTATTAAAGAAAGTATTGGATTAAACTTCAGCCCATATGTTCTGCTAAATTTAGTATTGCCCCATTATGCGAAACACCAAATCACCAAATAAATGAAGGCATAATGATACAACTTCATTGCTAGTTGAGATGAAAAAAAGACGCACTAGTCAGCAATTGTATCTCAGAACTGTTAGAAGTTATGTTTGTCCCACATCGATTTATTACTAAGCTGTTATTGTGTATAAGCGTGGGTTGGGCAACCTCTCCTTTCCTGTTGAGCTAGCTTTTGGGGGATAAGTTCTACCAGGCCCATTTATCACAAACAAAATGTCATCAATGATTTACTCTTAAAAACACATGCATAATCTTACTCCAAATCATCTACACGTCTATCGATTAAGTGATTGATCAGAATTGACAATCAATTCTTCCTTAACCCATTAGTTAAACCAAAACCTGGGTAATAATAGTAGGCAACTACCAACATCCTTCATTTGTTTGCATGAGAGCAAGTTTTCTCACAAGTCACAGCAATTCAAGATTCTTGAATGAATTGGGAACAGTCGTGCAGAAAGGCTGGATTCTTTACCTGATGATCTCTCATCGGATTCCAATCATGCTCCATAAAAACAAGAGTATCAGCTGACGTCAGGTTTAAACCGAGCCCACCAACTGCAGGTGTCGAAATATCAGGGTCAAGTCACAAAAGATTGATATTCTTACGATGAATTTGGCAGGTGAAATTAGTACCGTGAGTTGTGAGCAGTAGAGCATCAATTGTGGGGTCTGAGTTGAATGCTTTGACAATTTCAAAGCGTTTTTCAGGTTCAACAGATCCGTCCAACCGCAAATATGTAACACTGCTTATAAATAGAGAAGAAAAGTTTAACTAATTGGACGGTCTAAATCTGCAATCCACATTGACATAAATGTGTGTGTGTGTGCGTGTGTGCGTGTTTGTGTAAACAAGGTGCAACTCACGTTTTCATATGAGTGTGAAACAAGTCTTTCTCAATAATGTCTAAAAATGCCTGCAGCATGAATGCCATGAAAGTCACAATTAGAAAGCAAGAGAGCATAACATAAAGTCTCAAGGTTAGTGCAAAAAGAAACAGCCATGACCTTGTGTTGCGCAAATATTAGAAGCCTGTGCTGCCCAATAGAAATAGGTCCTTCAGAACTAGAAGCATCCACTCCTATTCCACACTCTTCCATTATCTCCTGAAGAGCGACAAGTTTAGGAGAATGATGAATTTTATGAAGCTCCGCAGAGATGTCAGAATTCAGGAATCCAAGTTCTGACATCATTGGTACGAGTGAGTCTGGTGTACTTTCACTAAGAACAAGTAACGGATGACTACACAGTTTCAACAAATATTGAAGCGCCTGCAATTGAGAAAAGGGAATATAAGGCACTAAACAAACAAAAAAAAAAAGGGAAGGAAAATGAAGAAAAATGATTGAATGAATGTAACAACCCTTATTTTTACCTGGAAAACATGAGAAGATGCTTTGGGCGCTCCTCCTGTATCTTCATTTAGCTTAACTATACTTGAGATCTCTTGTCTTACGTGTGAACCCGAGAACTGTTCATACAATTTCAGCTGTAAAGAACTCAAGTCACAATATCTATCCTGAATAATCTTCTCAGGCAGATCAGACAGAACTTCATCCTTTGTACGGCGTAAAAGGAAAGGCATAACCTATCAGAAGATAAACTCATCAGCAAATGATGAGAAAAGATGAGCAGATTCCAAATGCACAGAAAACAGAAAAGATGAATGTGTACAAGTATTTACATACATAAATAAAAAAAAAATATATATATATATATATAAGCAAAAAAATTAATATAAAGATGCAACGATATATTATATACAGGTCGGGGGTTTGGCCTTAACCCCCCACCCTCCTGGGGTGTTGTTTGTTAAAAAAAAAAATAATAAAAGATGCAACGGTATATTGACAAAAGAAAATGAGCACCTGCTTATGCAATGCCTCCATGGCTAGTACCCCTGCTTCTGCATCTTTTGCAGAACATTTAGGATCCCTAGCTGCTATTAGAGGTTTTCCATATGTGGCTTGAAACTGCAGAAACACCAACACTCATTGCAATTACATTCCCAACTAACAAACATGCAACAATGGTTTGGATGTTGATTAAACCACGACCACAATAGTTCTAGTGACCTTTAGTATTAGGTTGCAAAAAGGAGATCATATTCGACCGTTGTTACCATTTCACAATGGCCGGGAAAAAATGTACATATACACCAGTAAATACGAGAAATCATGAGTAAAAAATGACGGAGATATACAGAGCATACTTGTCTTTCTGTTCCAAGAAAGCCCGGCATGAGGAAGTCAAAAAGTGACCAGAGATCCAACACATTATTCTGCATTAAAAAACAGAACTTTCTTTAGCAAGACAAGCAAGTTTATGCTCGAGACTAAAAACACAGTTCGAAAACAGACCTGGATTGGTGTGCCACTCAATATGAGACGGTGCTTGGCTTTAAGTTGTTTCACAGCAACCGTGACTTTGGACTTTGAATTCTTAATGATATGTCCTTCATCCAGAATTAAGTAATTCCACATAAACTCTCCGAGAAAATCAACATCTTTCCGGACAATGTCGTACGAAGTTACAATGGCATTGTGCTTGTTAAATTGCTGTCGTAGGGAACTGCGCTCTTGGGCGGAACCAATGTATTGAAGTGTCGATAAAAGAGAAGGATCGATAAACTTTTCAATCTCGTAAACCCAGTGCCCGACAAGGGTCGATGGACATATAATTAGTGATGGCAGCAGATCATCACCCTTATTGGCGGCAATGTGCTCAGCTACATCAGATGCCACAATCGCCGATGACTGAAGTGTTTTACCGAGGCCCATATCATCACATAAGATTCCATGAAGGTTAAACCGTTTCAGAAATGCAAGCCAGTTTACACCCTCCTGCTGATACCTGAAAGTACAAGAGAAACAAAAATATAATCACAAGATGCTACTTGCAAAAAAAAGCCTGGATAACAATGGACACTGGGAACAGGACACGAGAATGAGGCTAGTATTTCAAACATCAGCCATCAAAAGTAACTGCAAAATTACCATTCAATTGTCTGAAAGAATGGGCAGTCATTGTGGTGAAATAATACAAGAGATAACAGGAAAAATACAAGGCAAGCTCTATAACTTGAAAAACAGAATTTCAGACATAACATACTACATATATATAGTGCATAAATAGGAAAAAGTAAAACTACAGATTTAACCACAGTTGGGAAGAGCAGAGTAAAAGACATAAAAATATTTTGAGCTCTCAAAGGAAATAACAAATTACTTAACTCTGATGGAGATGATACATTCATATCAGATTTCGACTGGTACAATGACGCCTTTCTAGTTGCATTTCAAAGACCTAACTCCCTCTAGGTACGCTTTACTTATTATCATACCATTCAATGGAAGAGATTAAAATAATGCGGATGCCAAATAAACATGATTATGATGCCCAACTTAACTGTCCATTTCAATGCATATGAATAACTGAAAGCATCACATACTTCAGCAAAGATAAATAGATAAAAATTCGAACACACATAGCATTGCCTATAAAAGAAATGAGTTTACCTCCTCAGAGTCACTTTTAGCTCAAAGGGGAGTTTGTAATCATCAATGTGAGAATTGTCAACTAGCTGCTCAAGAAATAGGGCATCTTCTTGATTTTGTGACAAACGGTCACTAAGACCAATAGGTAGAGAGACCCCACGTGCTAATGGAAGAAGGGGCACCAGGGCAGCAAAACTATGTGTCACACTCTGTCTGACTGAATGGTCACAGTCACTCATGCACCTCAAAAGAGGCACAACCAAAAGAGGAGCATATGGGACAAGTTCCAAACCCAGTCCCTGTACAAGCAAACTCACAAGCATCCCAGCTCCTTGTCTGGCATGCACAGATCCAATATCACCTAACATAGGAACAACATTCTCGATAAGAGAACCCATAACATCCAAAGTCATCGACTTGGCCATTGCCGTTATGCACCTCGAGGCGGATAATCTTACTGCAATATGAGAATGCCTTACACATCTGAAGATGCATGGTAAGAGTGTGAGCAGCTTCGGCCTCAGTGAGACCTCAAGGAAAGGAGCAATAGACCGCACGACCTGTGATTGGAGAGAAAAATGAAAATAAAATAAGGGATCATGAAAGACCAAAAATATTGAAAAGGAAGCAAAAGAACAATCAAAACAGTAAGTTCCCAAATTTTGAGGACAATCATGATGCAACACAAAGGACAAGCTTTATGTTCAACAAGAGAAAGAAGCCGGCTGTAGAAGTCCACAACTAGATATGCATATAACACGAGACAGATTTCAGGGTAATCCCCATACATATAACAACCACCAACATGAGAATCTTCAATAAATTTCTGAGGTGAATGAATAAAAAGGGTGGAAAAAGGCAGCAACACATCCTCCTTTTGCAGTGTGAGTGGCATTAAAAACATAACTGCATGGGTGGATGATCGGAAAAAACAGAAAAAAAAAAAAAAAAAAAAAAAAAAAAAAAAAAAAAAAAAAACAAAAAAAAAAGAATCATAAACCCATTGAACTGAGAAACATTAACGAACTGACTATAACACATGTTTAGGGGAAAGCTTATCACACTCACTTGGATATTGTTAATTAGAATCTGAGGGTCCTTAATGGAACCAATAGATTGATCAATCAGCTTCTCATCTTCTGGTGTTAGGCCTTCAAGATCACAGGGCTTAAGGACCTCAACAAGACAATGCCAGATCTTTGGGAGTCGGTCAAACAAAGAACTGCCAAATTTCATGCATAAATATTTCAATGCAAGTTCAGAGCCACGTCTGCTAATGAAGCCTTCAACCTTCGAGCGGTCTTCACCAGCAGAGAACATATTAACTTTCGATTTTTGTCTACCGCTACTACTTCCAAACGACAGAAGGTCTTGGTCTTCAATGATCTCAACAGAATTTAGCGCTCCTGCCTGCGGAGTCTCACGAGGATCCATGCAGGTTAGATTACATAGGTTCTTAATTAGCTTGTCATTGGGACCTGGTTTGCGATCGACACAATGATGGATGAGCTCTGCCAACGATTCAGCAGCCTTACATTGCAGAATTTCCTCCTGCGGGGAAGAGAGACGACACAATTATAAAGTGAATTGAGGTTTTCTGTACAAACTGCACAAAATACCTGCTCTCTCTTAATGGATGACATTATAGGCAGAATAATTGGATTGAGTTTGGTGGGAAGCTCTGACATCCAAACAACGGCTGCAGCTAGCAAAGCCAAGACAGTGAGATGCAAATTGTTCTGAAACAGCACCAAAAACAGTGAATGAAAAGTCAAGAGATCTACTGAATCATTTGCACAGACAAAAAGTGAATGTTCTCGGTAACTTGTTAGCACATTAATAGGTGTATAGCAGCTAACACTCACCTGAACACATTTCAGATATCCAGCTGTTGTCAAAAGCTTTTGCTTTAAAGACTCTAATTCTTCACACAAAATCCTTCCTTCGGACTCCGGCATGGAGGTACAGTAACCCATAAATTCAAACAGTGATGCAAAACTCACAGCATCATCTGCGGTCATATTCTCTATGTCCACTTTAACAGATGAAACGAGATCGCTGTACAGCCCAGATGCCTGTGTAGCACTATACAGCTGGCCCGCCTCATTTTGCATCTTGTTATATGTTCTTGAGAGTTCAGCATAAGGTAAAAGTGAGTCTTTTGTTGGACGTGCAGGGTTACTGCAAGCTAGCAAATCTAACAAACACAGTCTGAAGTTACACGAAATGCCGGCAATAATTTCATCAGACTTGGAAATGTCTTTCAATTCTTTAAACCAAGATATAAGAACCATTGAAACCACCTAGCATAATCAAGAAACACATGAATTCATTAAAAAGATCACCATGTCATACTTCACAGATAAAATACAGCAGGATAATAATAATAATAATAATAATAAAAATAATAATAATAATAATAATAATAATAATAATAAATAAAAATAATAATAATAATAATAATAATAATAATAATAATAATAATAATAATAATAATGCAATATAATAATATAATATTAAGGCAATAAAACAATTTCATTGATTCTCAGCATCCAAATGTTACCTGCCGCTGAACTCCTGATAAGGATGTCAAGCCCTTCCACAATGGATCGATTACACATTGCAAGGATGAACCATTCAACTTTGATGTCAATACACCAAGGGCAGATGATGTTATTACCCTTGTATAAGTTACTGAGACGTCCAAATCCGCGCCAACAATTATCTTTGTCGAATTCGCGGAAGCATCTCCATGCTCTCCTGACATGCTCCCTCCAAAATCCAAGATGTTACTTTTCTGATGCTCACCAAAAGCTTTCATTTTAGCTGCAGCTTTAAAATGACTTTTACGAGGCAGAGCTACAGGCCAAAACATTTTTGTAGCATCCAAAGGAGACCCGTAAGGAGTAGTAGCAAGCTCAATCCATGAGGAGAAATATAACTTTGCAGCATTTTGTAGGTCCTCCACCAGGCACTGATAAATTCAATGAACATTTTAGAACTGGAGCAGGGAATAACTGAAACGGTCAAGTGGCAAGCCCTGGCGGCTTACCCACTTTATAAATTATATTGCAGTATTGCAGTAGGACTCTTACTCGAAAAGAAACATGCAGTAAAAACCATTACCAAACAACAAAAGGCATACCTTGAGTAAGAGATTCCAAACGCGCTCTGAGCACTGCAGAATCTCCTCATTTGATTCAAGTAGCAGATTCTGAAAAACAATCCTCAGGGTGTCACCAACTATAAAAGAAGGCCAAAGTGAGCTTGACACATCAGAGACACTCCTCCGATAACCAGCTTCAAGTAAACGTTCCTGCACATTGATGGTCCACATCCAACCTTCTTTTAATAACCACTTTACAATAAGTGTAGTAATTAAGTAGGCCATCTTACAGAGAGTGATGAAGAATTACTAAGGCTATACAATGGGAACTAATAAAACTAAAACATAGTAAGCACAAAGAGCAAGTTCAATATACTACCAATGTGCGGATTGCTGATAAGCGGACTGAAGTAATGCTGTGTCTCATAAATGGCCATAACCTTGGTGCCAATGTTGAGAGCATATAAGGATTCTCCAGAGAACTCATTCCTTCCCCTAGATCATCTGATTGACTATACCCATGGTTGAGAACCACACTTTCTTTGGAATCCAAAGTTCCAAGAGTCTTTGGAATCATCTGCTCCTGGGAATAAATTTCTGCTAATAGATTCATTACACTGCAGTAAAGATTAGTCAATCAAAAGTTTGATAGACTTATGAAGCAAAATAATAACTAGTGATCAAAAGCACCAAATTTCAATATAATAAAAGAAAAAAAAAAATGTACCCCCTTTCACCCAGCAAATAATGAAAAATGCATAGTGATATCATATTAAGTAACAATGAAAAACAAATCGTGTAAATCATATCACTAGCATATTAAGTATCCATTCGGGGTTGCAAAGTCCATCAAAATTCAACGCCATGAACATGAACCCATTACCTACAAACAGAAACACAGAGAGATTCATAACCTATAAAATAGCACCCTGTACAAAGTAGATCAGAAGGAAAGGAAGCAAAGGACTCATGGTTATCACTACAGATAAAATCCAGCTGACAGATAAAACAATAGAGCAATCACGAAACAATTTGATAGAATGAGGTAATAAGGACGAGGACTAGAAACCAAACACTAAGGGTGTGCTTGTCTATAGTTTTTTTGGTTTTAATTGGCTTTTTGGTTAACCATATGTTGAGTAGGATTTTGAGTTTGTATTAAAATAATATTTAAAATAAAATGATTAAAGTTGATTTGAAGTAAAAGTACGAGAGAGGTGATTGGAAGAGATAGGTAGTTAAAATTATGAGAGTGGATGAATAGTGAATTAAAATTGATGTGATGTGTAAAGATGATAGATAGATATAATTTAATTACATTAATAATATTCAATATTGAGGATAATGAGAATGAGTCAAATTTGAGTAAGATTTGAGTTAGATGGATTTTTTTGTTGGTATTTTTATAAACAAGCACGCACTAAAGTAACGCACCGTGCTAAAATCAGCATATAGGAAAAGTTTAATAATTAGCAAATTGAAGTGCAACAAACAAACTAATCAGTCTCAAGGTAATAATGAAGAGAAGTAGAAGTCTGGTATGGAAAGCAAAATCACTAAGTAATGGGTAGGAGGTTCATAGATAGAGATTGGCCAAATAAAATGTTATAGGATACCCCAATGTGGAGGTTGCAACTTCCGTAAGAGCAGAGTAGATCCCATATTTTCTCCAAAATTTAAATAAGAGACGTTAACAGAAGCCTAGAGAAAGAAGTAGAACAACATCAAGACATAAGGCATTTGCAAGAATTCCAAAAAATCTTGAGTACTTGAAATCGACAAACCAAAAGTGGTCTGAACGAGTAAAAAAGAACTTTGTTACTGGACAGAATTACTATTTGCTATTTGTAGGCTCTTTACCAATAAAACAATGTAACACCGATGGGCATTGCAATATGATATGAAAGGTAGAGAAGTCCATAAGTAGGAAGTAGTAACTTGCAGAATTGTAACGATGATTAGGTCAAAAAAACATACCTGCTGGTCGAGGGACTCAAATCATCCAGGTCAAGCAAAATATCCCAGAGCAGCATAACAATTGAATGTAAAGTTGAACCTTTTAGCGAAACAATAGAAGAAGAAGTCGGTATCAATGCCTCGGCTGCAACTGCTCTCACATCATCATCAGGATCTTCAAGTCCAGCTTTGCAAGCAGGAAGAACGAAGTCCAGCAAATTATGTAGCATCTCCTGTTATCAAAACAAAAAATAATAAATAAATAAATAAAAATAGCAGCTACATCAAAAGGAAGAAAAATGCTTATGTAGATATCAGTAGGGAAACTAACTTTTTTACAGAATAAATGCCATTCAGCACAAATTAATTTACAAATGCAACAAAAATGCGAGTAGCCTCATCCATATGCCTGATTCGGGATAAGTTACACTGCCTCAATCCAGAAGAAAGACAAACATGACCTTTCTGAATCAATGTCAACTCAAATTTTCTATAATCTAGAAACCCAAGGAAGTGAAACATAATCAACGTGATTGCTTGCCTTTTGGTAGTTCATATTTAACATACAAGACTTCCTATTTGTTCCTTTTCTTAGTCAGTTGAAGTAGAAGCTCATGGAACACACATTCAGTTCTTTTTGGTTCATTTTTACATATGGTTAACGAATGTTGTATGTAATTAAAGTAAATAGTTCAAACTCAACAGCACTGTTGATACCATGATCAAATTAGTTGAACCACTGGAAACCAGGCAACAAAACTAGAATTCTAAATCAGCATTCCATAATAAGTAAATTTCACATCTTTCAGTAAATGTAGCCTAATAAAATAGTATATTCCATGCCAATTAACATTTTCCACACTATCAGCAACACATGGTGCTTATATTTTATCTTAAACATCACTGTGGAAGCTAAAATCATACTCTCACAATAATTGTTGAAAGAATACACAAAAGAATTCATGCTGCATCATTTTTTAGCAATAGTACCAGTTGGCAGGAACAGTCAAGCTAAGAAATTTGCTTAACACAAATAGTCAAGTATTAGTAGGGAAAAACACATTACAAAAAATTACCTGCCGCACGGCAACTAAATACTTTATACCCAAAAGACTCCCATGGCGGATCTCCCATTCTGGTCTACGCTGAAAAAAGTTAAAATTATAATAAGATGTTGCAGTTAAAGAACAAAAAACCTGAATCACGAGAAGACTTTAAGAAACTAAACAATTTCACACAATATTTACCTGCATCTTCAATAAAATGTTCAATGTCTCTTGAACCAATGATGGATGCATGTACTTGAATACAGCACCTAATGCTTGTGCACAAGTTTCCCGTACTGGTGCAACAACTTGATCAGAAACATAGTCTCCAAATCTAAAAGAAGGAGACACACCATTTAGATCTCTAAGATAACACAGTTATTCGTGAAAGAAACAACAAAATTCCAAAATTAATTGAAAACTCATGCATAGCAGGATATGACTTTATATTTGGAGCCAGAGCTGCCCGTTTTCCTTCTATATTCAACTACATTTCACTCTCTTTAACTTTACCACAGGCATAAAACTCTGTAAGTACAGCTTCACAAATCAAAACATACCGGTCTAAAGACAAGACGCACAAGAAGCGAATAGCACAATCTTGCAGAAATTCAAAGTTTCTTAGCCATGAAGTGCTGGCATATTTGAGAAGGTTCATGAGTTCAGAGTTTTGGGGAAGATTCTTCAATATATTCATCTTCCCTGATAATTCATTGCCTTCGAAGCATTCTGTTTTTACTGAATCATCACTAACGGAGTGGCAGGCACCCTCAATGCCAGATTGAGATTCCATCTTCACAAATCTAAAATCGATTTTACCATTATGTATAGTAGGAACTGGTTGTCCATCACTACCTTTCGTATAAACATCTGTATCTCCATGCGGTGCATCTTCCATCTTTGGTCTCTTTGAAACTGGCCCTGATTCGTCCAGTGACACTAGCATATTCAAATCAATTTCCCTCTCTTTTTTTACTTCAGACTCATTATCTTTATTAATCAAATTAGAAACAGTCGCACCACGATTGCTGACTTCAGGCATAAGAATTCCAGCACTAGCTCCTTGATAAGTTAATATCTCCCTAAGAGACATGATACTTCCATGACGAACCTCCCAAACTGAGAAGAAAATTAGTCACTACAATATCACATATATTATTGAAAAAAACTCAGTGGGTAAAGCAAAAAATACCTACCAGGGTCAAACATATCAACGAGGAGTTGTTCAACAAAACCTTGGAAAGGCCAGCTCCCATCTCTATCATTATCAGAACTTTCATCATCGGAAACAGTATCTACAAGTTGCTGCATCAAGAATTATCTCAGTAGCTGCATCTTTAATTCTTGTAGAAATTTTGATACAACAAAGACCACTTAATCAGAAATGTAAAGCAAAATCTTGGCATCATACATGATGAAAAAGAATAATGCAGAACAGGTCAATATGATACTTGGTATTTTCAAGGGAGAATTTGCAAATAACTATCTAAAATTCTTGCAGCTTCTGTAGAAATAGCCTAATTTTCCCTTATCACCTTATTATTGTCATCTATATGATGTCAGCCCTTAATATTAGCCATTAAAGAAACTGCATTCTGATTGTACAGCTGACATTTATTTTCTTTGGGTAAAGAAGCATTGCCATCTTTCTCATGTTGGAGACATTGGCCAAAAAAAATCTCATTACCTCAAACCCGATAAATACAGCCATATCTATCCTTGCAAGTGACGTCTTTACTTTGACCAGGGATTCAGGGCAGTTTTACTTGAATATTAAAACTGTAGCCTTATTTAAAGAATTGAGATGCCACATGCAAGGGCTTGTTATATAAGTTTACTGCAGCTAGCCATAATGAAAAGGAATAAACAACATTTAATAAGTAATAGGCACCACTGTTTTGAGGAAGTTACAATCTCCATAATCTCAATCTGAACAAAAGCGAAAATTCGCGAGATTTGTTGCCATATTACTAAAATGTTGAATCAGTAAATATATGGTAAAATGCATTTATTCACCTTATTAGAGCTGGTTGACTCCACATAAATTCCCTTTGATGATACCATATCATGTGAATAGGTGGAATCAGTGTTCACGTCTTTTGACCACCCCTTTGATTGGTCTTTTGGGTTACTTTTTGCCTTGCGTTTCAGAAGATTCAGCTCCCTGGCACTGGGCCTCCTGGATCTGGATGTTGGCACCACGCTTGTTACAAACTGCTTGATATTACGAGGTTGTGAGGAAAAATACTGTAACCCTCCATTCCCCGGGTAATTCATTTTGTGAATGATAAGATCCTCATCTCTTATCATATCATTGACGTCCATGAACTGCTCACACACATCTAGACCTGCAGATATTTTTATTACTATTATTTTAACTCGCCCATGTAAAAAGTAGGAAATAGAATAGAAACTGTAAGCAGTCTCAAAACCCGGAATTGTATAAGAACATTACACTAAAGCAGCAGTGCACAGGATCTACCCTCTTCACAAAATAATTGTGTTCATAGATGTTACAATAGCCGACCCACTTAGTGGGATTTTAACGGCTTGTTGGTTGATTGTTCATAAATGTGACAACCATAAGTAGGTTTTTCACTGTTTCACCTCTAAAAGGGGAGACGGGCTGTTCGTGGAGAACTAGGGCACAAAATCAGAATAAGAAAAAAAAAAAAAAA